GGGTGCGGTGGCTCATGCCTGTAATCCTAGCACTTTGGAAGGCTGAGGTGGGTGGATCACCTCAGGTCAGGAGTTCAATACCAGCCTGGCCAACATGGTGAGACCCCCATCTCCACTAAAAAAATACAAAATTAGCTAGGTGTGGTGGCAGGCACCTGTAATCCCAGCTATTCGGGAGGCTGAGGCAGGAGAATCGCTTGAACCCGGGAGGTGGAGATTACAGTAAGCTGAGACTGTGCCATTGCACTCCAGCCTGGGCAACGAGAGAGAAACTCCATCTCTAAAAAAAGAAAATCAGTTTTGGCGTCAATATACCTGTATAGGCCGAGGGCACCTATATTTACACTGATTGCCCCTTCATTGGTAACGTCTCCATCTGAGGCTGGATCCTGTCTGCATGGTGACCAAGATAAAAGATGCAAAAGATCAACATCATCCACCAAGATTATTTCCACTACATGTATAAGTACAGTTGCTTCAAGAAGCACAAGAACATGTTCATGCACCCATCCCCTTGCATCAGGGATGTCCAGATCAGCAACATAATCATGGTTGGGTAAGCACCAGCATGAGCAAGATGGTGCACTTCAACATGCTCATGGTCCCCAGTGCCACCAAGAAGCAATTCCAGTTCTGAGTCTGGATGCCTGCCTACTCCCTAATATGAAATAATGTTATTTTCCTATTAAAAAAAAAAAGGTGAGGAGGGGAGAAATGCTAAATTTCAGATAGTGCCAGTGCCAGACTTGAGTTATAGAGCTCTGTCAAGTATGAAGTTGGCTATAGTTATCAGTGCAACTATTGATGACAGACTTTCTCATCAGCTGAGAAGGGATGAAAGTGAATGGAAGTGCTTAACTGACTCAGAGTGGTAGGTGAGCTCAAATAGGAAAGAAACCAACATCTGGTATGGTATGGATAGCAAAGGAGTCAATGATCCCATCTACTACCCTAAACTGAATGACCTCACATTGTATTTGAGTGACCTTGGCACAATCCACCTGAAAATGAATGTTCTTTTTTCTACTAATGAAACTCTGAACTTATAGAAAACTATTTACTTTCAGGCCAGGCGTGGTGGCTCATGCCTGTAATCCCAGCACTTTGGGAGGCTGAGGTGGGTGGATCATGAGGTCAGGAGTTTGAGACCAGCCTGGTCAATATGGTGAAACCCTGTCTCTAGTAAAAATATAAAAAATTAGCTGGGTGCTGCGGCACATGCCTGTAGTCCCAGCTACTTGGGAGGCTGAGGCAGGAGAATCACTTGAACCTGGAAGGTTGCAGTGAGCAGAGATCATGCCACTGCACTCCAGGCTGGGCAACAAAGCGAGACTTCGTGTCAAAAAAGAAAAAAAAAAAAAAGAAAGAAAACTATCTACTTTCCTTATCTCCCATCAAGACATCCATTCATCCATTCCAGAGTTACCTCACGACTAGCTCTCTATCTTAATCTTGGTCAAGGAAATTAAGGTAATTTCTTTTTCAGAATTTTGGGAGCTGGTTCAAGGAACAAGGTTCCCTTTTAAAGCTTCTTTCATCCCAGCTTTCCAACAATTACCCTTAGGCCTTATTCAGGTCTTAGAGAAGTAGAATCCATTGTGCTTATTCACACTGATGACTACATCAGTATATCTAAGAAGAGTAAGTGTTAAGACCAAACACATCATCAACTTGTTCAGCACAATTTGTTCATACCACAGTAACTGTGGGATGAAATCTAAGATACTCTCTTCTTTCCTTTGTAGCAGCAAACCTCTGTGGCTCAAGGAAGTATGTCAGTTGGATGTCCTGTCCCATCTACTCAAGACCAATAAACAACACTTAAAAAGAACATAATCTCTTTATGTCTGCTTGGGATACAAATGTTCAGTTTGGATGATGAGAATGTGGCAAGTACTGGAGACAATGGCTGGTTCTTCTGTTTGTCCCAATAAACTCCAATGGAGGAAGAAGCTAAACAGGTTTTGGATAGTTTCGGTCTATTGTATCTGGCTTATCAAATCTACAGCCTGGTACTTCTGGAACAAGACTGCCCCAGTGACGATAGTTAAAGATGGCGAAAATGAAGAATTCAACATGTATACGCAGTGCAGTCTGATGTCTTCAGATGTTCTCTAAAATTCTGCATTTGGTCAGAACTGGGAGTGAGATCAAGGTGCTTGCCCATTTCTGCTCCACTGCTCCTGATTCTGCTTTGCTGTCTTGGAGGGAGAGATTTAGATCTGGGGGCTGGTGGGGGCCATGCGCTTGGCAGTTTGCTGAGCTAACCAGTACTTATACCTTTTGGTCTTGGGCTTCTCAAAGTTCACCACAGACATAGGCACTCTTATAGTATCAAGCCCATTTACCTGCACACAAAACAATGGAAATTCTCAGAGATCAGTCAGGTAGGTAAGAATTAACACTACCTAATCCCAGCTTTTCACCCTGACTTTTCTCCCAGTCAGAAAAAGGAGAGCTAGGGCTGGGCACAGTGGCTCATGCCTGTAATCCCAGCACGTTGGGAGGCTGAGGCGGATGGATCACCTGAGGTCAGGAGTTTGAGGCCAGCCTGGCCAACATGGGGAAACCCCGTCTCTACTAAAATACAAAAATTAGCCGGGTATGGTGGCATATGCCTGTAATCCCAGCTAGTAGGGGGGCTGAGGCAGAAGGATCGCTTGAACCTGGGAGGTGGAGGTTGCAGCGAGCTGAGATCATGCCACTGCACTCTAGCCTGGGCAACAGAGTGAGACTCCATCTCAAAAAAAAAAAGAAAAAAAAGAGAAAAAGAAAAAAGGGAGAGCTAGGTGCCAGGTGCGGTGGCAAATGCCTGTAGTCCTAGCTAGCTACCTGGGAGGCTGAGGTGGGAGGATCACTTGAACCCAGGAGTTTGAATCCAGCCTGGGCAATGAAACAAAACCCTGTCTTGGGAAAGAAAAAGGAAAAAAAGGAAAAAGGGGGTGAAAAAGGAGAAAGAAAAGAAGAAAAGAAAGTATGCAAAACACTCACCGTCACCTCACACCAATACTCGCCCCACCGTGTGATAGGCTCTTCTGGTAACTTTAATGTATGTGGGGCAACCACAACACCAAGCTGGAAAAAAAAAAAAAATCTCAGTTCAAATGAACTGTTTTCGTGACTGCCACTTTAGGTAACCTCATAAAGAGGGTTACGGGATTTCCTGCACAGGGATGAATAAAACTGGGGTGTCTACTCTGGCTGATTCCATGGGAGAGAAGGGCATACACCTTCATAGACAGTAGTAGAGAAATTCAATTCTGATTTCTCAGAAAGGGAGGTAGATTCACAGAGAAACAGGGTTTGAGGCTAAAACCACTTCGTCTACAGAAGTAACAATTCTCCAGTGAGTCACAAATCCCCAGCATTTCCCTAGGTAGACAGGAAATAAATGGAAACCATCACCTGTTCCTACCAATCTTCAAATTCTACGTGACCATCCTCAGTCCTTAGCCATTTCCTTCCCACACGCCTGCAAACCAACCAAGAATACTTTCCCTAACTACAGCTGGATGGTCACACCCCTCCCTAACAAAGGGATCAATCTCAGGCCTCCTTCCCAGAGGCAGCTTCCACCTCAGGGGTAGAGTGGTTTTTGGGAACACTCACATTCTTGAAGAAGTGGCGGGCAACTATTTCAGGGTTCAGCTCCCATTTGACATTGTTCTTCATTCCTACCTCCAGGCGACAGCTTTTTAGAAATTTCACTGTCTGAAAGGAATTATGAGTTGGAGTCAAAGGAGAGGAAACATGTCAGGTCACAAGGTATGCAAGCCAAGCACGATGGCTCACGCCTGAAATCCCAGCACTTTGGAAGGCCAAGGTGGGTGGATCACTTCAGCCCAGGAGTTTGAGACCAGCATGGCCAACATGGTGAAACCCCGTCTCTACCAAAAATACAAAAATTAGCAGGGTATAGTGGCGGGCGCCTGTACTGATTATCTTCTCATGTGTCTATGTTCTCTCCAACTTGTACATAAATATCCTTGAAGGTGGAGGCCTCATCTCAGACGATTCCATGGGTTCCCTGATTCCCAGATTGGGACCTCTCTTGGTACTTTAGGGCACTTCACCCAACACATCAGGGATCTCCCAAGAGGTCTCCATACCGGTTTTGTGGGGCAGCCACAACACTTCCCCTTTCTCCCACTCTTGGATCTGCCTGCAATCAGGAGACCTCAAGGGAATCAGGAAGACTCTCAGGGTGAGGTTGTTAAGTCTTGTAAGTGATCAATAAATACTTTTTACGTTTCTACTCACCGCTTCACCTGCCTTGGTCTGGAGCTTCTCTAATTTTCCTTCTTGTCTCAGCTAGAAAAGAAAGTTAAAGATGAAAAGCAGTAAGAGAAAAATGAACCCATGTTAAATAGCATCAAACTATTCCCATGCTGGGCATTGGCTGGGCTTCTGGATTCCTGTTCTTCTAGTTCCTATTTCATTTTCAAGTTAAATATCAAAGGGAAAGAAGCTGCAAGAGAAAAGTTGTTTTATCTCTCCAAGTCTCTGTCCTTCCTTTCAGCTCACCGATTTCTCCTCTTCAAACAGCTTCTTGTTTTCAGGGGATGCATATACAGCCAGTCCCTGAGGAAGGAGTCCATTCCGGCCCAAAGATTTCCTCACTGACACCAGGTCACCCCGGACTCCAATATCTGTCAATGAGAACAGAGAGAGGGGATTAGAACCATCTAGGAGTCCCTAAAGAAAAGATGATCAAAGAGAGAAGCACCTCTTTCTCACAGTGCTTATTTTTCCTAAAAGAAATGCTAATTCATATTCACTAGGAACAAGATTTAAGAGACTGCTAATTAGTTTCTTTACGACTTGATGTATAAATTTAATATCCCCTGTATACAGGGAGGAGTTGTCCCATGAGAGGATGTCAGTATCTGTGGCACAAATTGTCAGACTCCTCTCCCCACACCCTGTTAACGATGTTGCTTGCTGTCTTTATGTTTTAATTTTCAATGCTGGAGGCCAATATCACAATCACAATAGTTTTTATGGCTTCCTCTTCTCACATATAGAGCTGATTATTTCCACAAAGAAAAAACAAGGCAAATAGTTGAGGGGGACAGGCAGGAAAAAGCTGACGCCAAATTGGACCAGCCTCAGAGGAGGAGCCTCGGCCCGGGCCTTACTCTCCACCGACTGCGTGAGGATGAGCTCCAGGTTTTCCTTGGGCCGATGCTTCGTGTCCTCCACCAGCTTATAGACGCGATGTCGCCGGTGCAGGCGCGGCTTCCGGCCCTCCCCGGCCAGCGGTACCTTCCACCAGCGCTCCACGATGACCGTGCCCTGGCGGCCAGGAAAGCGACGGTGAGCTAGTCTCCACAAGGAACACCGTCTCCCTCCACCACGGCCGCCAGCCCTTAAAGGAAAGCCCGCCACCCCCACATCGGCCCCTTCCGGGTCCCAGTGAGCCTCCAGGAACAATACTCGAGCGTTATCTACCCCCTACCCCAGACTCGGCCCTCACCCGATTTTGAGAGAGGCTGAAGTCGCGCGCCAGGCCAGGGGAGTTCCCTTCATGTCGCGGCCGCAGTAGCTCCTGGATACCTCCCCGCAGCAGCCGCTCAGTGCCCGCCCGTAGCAGAGCTCTGCCCGGAGCCGTCACCACGAGCGCCGCCATGTTCGCAGGCACAGAATGAGACCTAAGGGAGGACCCCAGCGTCGGGCGGCAGGAAAGGCCCCCGCCAGGGCTGCCTGCGGCGCGCCGGGGCGGCTTTGGTCTGGGCTGAGCTGGTGGATGGGGAGTGGGTCGGGGGACAGATGGCAGTGCGGCTTGCCTGTTTTTTGTTTTTGGCAGAGGGGAGGGACGCCCAGAATTACTGACTGATAATGGAATGAGTGCTAGGTGGACTGACGCCGGAAAAGACGCTCTTCCTCTGGAAAGTGTGGGCTTTGCTTTAGCTCTAGTTGCTGGGGTAACTTTTAATTCTGACGTTTTGTGATGACTGGATACTGACGGGAGAATGAATGATGCTCTCACTTTTCCTTACTTCAAATCTACCTAAAAGTAGTAAAGGATGGGATCCCTTGGAAAATTCTGCCAGCTCCAGGAAGAGCCTAACCCTTAATCATTACACTGCAGTATTTAAGCTAATAAAGGAGAATTCTAAATCACAAGCTGTGTAAGCCATAGAAAAAAAGCAACTATGGTAGGGCCCCGACAGTTCCCTCTGGGGAGGGTCTCAGTACTGGACAGAAGACCATAAAAATTGGATGAAAGAAAGTCCGTTTGGCAGAGATTATGGAAAGACTGGCCCTTAAACATACTGACCAGTCCTCCTTCCTGCTAAATACACTTTACGTGGCCTCCGGGACACCGGTCTTCTTCAGTCTCCTCTGCTGATTTCTCCTTTTCTCCCTGCTTCTTAGAATGCCCCCGGGACGGCCGGGGGCGGTGGCTCAAGCCTGTAATCCCAGCACTTTGGGAGGCCGAGACGGGCGGATCACGAGGTCAGGAGATCGAGACTATCCTGGCTAACACGGTGAAACCCCGTCTCTACTAAAAAATACAAAAAAAAAAAAAAAAAAAAACTAGCCGGGCTCGGTGGCGGGCGCCTGTAGTCCCAGCTACTCGGGAGGCTGAGGCAGGAGAATGGCGTGAACCCGGGAGGCGGAGCTTGCGATGAGCCAAGATCGCGCCACTGCACTCCAGCCTGGGCGACAGAGCGAGACTCCGTCTCAAAAAAAAAAAAAAAACCAAAGCCCCCGGGACTCCGTTTTTGACCCTTTACTCTTCTCAGTATACAGTCACTGTTGATCTCATCCGGTCTCGTGGCTTACAATACCATTTATATGCCAGTGACTCCCAAATTTCTAGTCCATCCTAGACATCTCCCAAACTCGTCTCAAATATTCAACTGTTACTCGTCATTTTCCTCTTATGTATCTAAAGGACACTTCAAAGTTAACTGTCCGAATTTATTTAAGGCCCCCCCCTCCATCCCCAAAACTGCCCCATTTGCAGCCTTTCTCCTCTCAGTTGACAGAAACTCCATTCTTTCCATTCTAACTCTTTTCCCTCATACTCCATCAGGAAATCCTGTGGGTTCTACCTTTAAATTACAGATAGTCCCTGACTTGGATTTACAATTTTTGAGTTTGTAATGGTGTGAAGGTGATGTGCACTCAGTAGGACATCAATAAGTTACATGAAATATTCAACACTTTATTATAAAATAGGCTTTGTGTTAGATGATTTTACCCAGCTGTCGGCTAAGTTGTCTGAGCATGTTTAAGGTAGGCTAGGCTAAGCTATGGTGTTTGGTAGGTGTATTATATGCATTTTCAACTTACGATACTTTCAACATACGATGGGTTTATCAGGACATAGCCCTATTGTAAGTCAAGGAGCACTTGTATTTCCAGAATCCAACCATTTGTCACCACCTCCAATGCTCTACCCTGGAATAAGACACGACTTTCTCCTGGATTACTGCAATAGTCCCCTAAAAGATATCCCTTCATTCTCTACAGTTTATAATTCTCTGTAGCTTATTTATAGCAGCCAGAATGATCTTTTTAAAGCATAAGTCAGATCATATCATTCTTCCACCCAAAACTTTGTAATGACTTCCTCCTTTACTCAAGGTAAAAGAAAAAGGCCATCAAATGGTCTACAAGGCCATACGTAATCTGACTCCATTAGCTCCTCTGTAGTTTACACTGCTCCACCCACAGTGACCTCCTTGTTTCTTGAAAACAGCAGGCACATTTCCTGCTCAGGGCTTTTGCACTGGCTGCTTCTGCATTGGATGCTCTTATCCTCAGATGCTGGCTTGGTTAACAACCTCACATCCTCCAAGTGTTTAAATGTCAGTTTTTTTCAATGAGAGATCACCCTATTTGTTATTGTAACCCTGACCCATCCCCTTCATGTTCCTTATCTTCCTTTATCTTGCTCTATTCCCCCCACCCCATAGCAGTTACCTTCTAACATACTAAATAATTTACTATGTTTATTTTTCTAGGGTTGTCCTCTCACTTTTGGAAGATATGCTCCTTAGGGCAGGGATTTGTTTTGTTCATTGATGTATCTCAAGCACCTAGAATAGTGCCTGGCTCATAATAGACCCTCGATAAATATTTGTTGAATGGATAAATATGCAGAGGTCTCAAATTGGCAGCCCCAGAACCAAATTTTGCTTACAATGTATCAACCTTTTTTTAGTAGTCGATATTTTTTTAAATTGGAGAAATTTACTACAAAACTCTTTCCAGTTTCTGTTCAAAAATCATATGATACAGCACCATCAAGTCTGCATTCCTGCATGGAACTGGATGGAACTGAGTTGTGTGGACTTCCTTTAGGTAAGGTGTGAGCTTTCCTATTTTGCTACAGCCCTACCCTGCCACTCCACTAATTTCCGTAAGCCGTCTAGGCCCCTGAAGGCATTTAGTTTGCAATTCCTACCCTACAAGGTAGGATTCAACAATCTGTAGCAACCCTGGGTTATTAAGGATAGGGATAATAAAAACACTCAACTGGTATGAACTGGGAACCAACTAATCAGGTCACCACTGGATCAGAGCCTTGGAAGACTCCTGCAGTGTCAGATACCAACTCTTTATTTGCTGGATTTTAGGGGAAGGGGAGTGTCCCCAGAGGAGCAGGGTGGGTGGGCACAAGTGCTCAGGCAGGGCTTTTGGCCAACCAGTACAGAAGTCTTCAAGTTCTATTTTTAAATCATTCATACGGCCATAACGTGCATACTAGTCGAATATGAGCCTTAGATAAGGGATTACGGTAGGTGAGCAGCAGAGTGGAGTCCTGAGGTGACATAAGGGCTGACCCCTTGTCCATGTCATAGTGCCCAGCGGGTCACAATGACACCAGGTTGCCTAAACCTCTGCCACCCACCTGTGAACCTCACTTTGCCACAGGGAGGCACTGAACTGAAAAACTGCCTTGTAACAGGTGTCGCCCCTCTGTCTACTCCCTTTCTTATATCAAGAGGGGAAAAACACGTAACTACCTCTACCCGATCTGGTCACCATACGCCTATTACCTTTACTGTTACAAGTACCGGATCACCCTCCGGGAGAAGATGCTGCCTCGCTGTTATAAAAGGTACTTGTTTTCATCTCTATTTGTAGTTGTTTATATAAAATGTAAGGAAAAAGTGTAAGAATTTGAAAGAATTTCCCAAATAGCAAGAAATAACAACAGAATAGGGGGTGGAAAGCTGGCATGGAACTTTAGAATATTTCCATCTAGTTGACCCAGGAACATAGAAACAGGCTGGACAACAGAAAATACAGATCATGCCAGAGCCTGGTACTGTGTATCTAGAAGTTATGTCTTCCCATCTCAGATTCCAAGATAAACTAATTTGGGTCTCCTTCCCAACCAGCATCACTTATAAAGAAGAGGAGGACTTGACACTCCAGCCCCGTTCCTGCCTCCAGTGCTCCTGAGTCCCTAGTAGGCCTCCAGGTGGGCAAAAGCACCGAGCAGGGTAACCACGAACAGCTTAAAGAACTGTATTCGGTAAGTGAACTGTGAGCTGGTGCTGTGACAGGGCAGCCCTTTGCTTGCATACCTTGCAGAGGAGCGACATTGGCAAGTTGGAAGGTCAATTATAGAGGTAGATGGAATCCTGGAATGCATGTGTAAAAGTTACTTTTTATATAGACAATGGCCCACAGACTATAAAATCAAGGTCATACAGATGGTTGTGAAAATCAGGATGGGAAAAAAGGGAGTGGGGACAAAGGTAGAACGAACTTTATAGGACTTCTGGGACATAAAGCTGTTTAGATGCTACGCAGGATCTGGAATCCAGAACTTGCCCACATATCATATTGCAATAACAAGCCTGGTTGTAATCACGGCATTTTAAATAGAAGAATTTAGAGAAAACCCATATAATGAAAAAAGTGGAAATTATTAGTGAGAAAGGAAGCACATTATAAAGCTTTGTTTAAATCCTAAGCTCTCTGATGTAAACATTTCTAAGTTCCTAAATGGTTATCGTACTCCTGCGTTGAAGTTAGCAGGCAGTAATACTGCCTCAGCTGGATTGTTTGATATGAAGGAGAACTCCATAATAGGCATAGGCTATTAGTTCCTAGGACTAAAGGATATTATTGCATCTTTAAGATCTTGGCTCCGATTCTCCCAGGCTCCCCCAATCAACGCCCACCTTGCTTCAACGGACACACCCCAATCTGCCTGAGGTCTGATTTGAAGGCTAGAGGAGCATTTTTACTCCTTTTCCAGGCTGGAAACTTGACGGTGCTAGCTACTGATCCCCTGCTCCACCAGGACCCAGTACATTTAGACTTTCACTTCCGCCTCACCTCCCAAACCTCCGCCCATTGGCACGGCCTTCTCTGTGACCGTCGACTCTTCCTGGATATCCCGTATCGGGCCTTGGATCAAGGCAACCGGGAAAGGTGACTGAGCCTGGAAGGGAGAATGGGGAGGGAACAGGTAGGGGATTTCACCCTTCTATCATGTCATAGTACATAGGGCTAATTCTAGAGCTAGATATAAGCAATCCATTCACCTGGCATGCAGACAAGCCTGTGAGCTAAGTCAGGATCTGGGTTTCAAGGGATAAGAGTCCATGGGAAGTTGGACTCAGATCCAGAAATAGTTGAATAACGGGAAGTACTTTCTAACTGTTCATCTCAGTAGTCGTTTCTCTCCAGGCCCCTTCTGTGACTTACATCCAGTGGTGTGCAATCTCTTGGCTTCAGAGAAAAATCTACCAAAACTAGTTTAACAACTTCCATTTCCTGGCTTGGGTGGGTGGAGGGCAGAAAACAACCAATAAGATTTTTTCTGCTCCAAGTAGGTGTCTTTCTGGATTCTGAGTTGGCCAAACATTTTAACTGTTTTTCTGTGGCTGCTAGTTTGACTGCAACGCTGGAGTACGTGGAAGAGAAGACAAATGTGGACTCCGTGTTTGTGAACTTCCAGAATGATCGGAACGACAGAGGTGGGGATCTGCTGTTCTTCCTTGCTCTTCGTGCTGAGGCAGCTGGATAACTCCTTTTCCTTTATAGGAGACCCTCTTCCCCCATCTTTAAAAATGCACCCTCAGGCATTTCAGGGATTCTTTTCTTCCCACCCACCGCGAAGGAAGTTAAAGTGCCTAGCATTCTGTTCCATCAAGTTACAAGTGGACTCTGAGGAAGCCCCTGCAGGTGGTGTTAGGGGCCAGACTGAAGGAGCACTGGCAAAATTAGAATCCATTCGAAGGATGTGGTCAGCAGGACAAAATGGATCTCAAATATTGAGCACGTACAATGTGAAAGGGTCAAACATAAGGCCAAGGGAATGGGAACATATTTAACCAGATGCCTGGAGCATATGTTACAAAAACCACAGCCTCTTGCCTCACGGAGTTCAAACTCTGTTGGATATAAGACAATGGATGGTGAATAACCATTCATAAGTGATAGCTACTATTTCAGAGTTTACTATGCCATCATTGTATTAGTATATAAGTAGACCTCACCAATCTCTAGTGTTAAGCACTTCATGAACATCTCATTTAATCTTAAATTTAGGAAGGTTCTATGATTTATAAATGGAAAATTTTATAAATGGGAAACTGAAGTTCTGAAGGACTAACTCACAGAACAAGTGTTAAAGCCAAGGTTAGAGCCTAGGTCTGTTTGACTAAAGCACATCCTATATGCCTGCACTACACTGCTTCCCAGGGCCACTCCCTAATGGAAGAAATCAAATCTGGGGGCATACATGTATTGAGTTTTAAAGCATGTTCTAATCATTTGTTCTATCCTTTCACAGGTGCCCTGCTGCGGGCCTTCAGCTACATGGGCTTTGAGGTGGTCAGACCAGGTCACCCTGCCCTCCCTCCCTGGGACAATGTCATCTTTATGGTGTATCCCCTTGAAAGGGATGTTGGCCACCTGCCCAGTGAGCCTCCTTGAACGTGCTTATTCCAACGCTTTGAGGGGCTGGAAGCCTTGACACCTGGGAATCAGGGGCCCGAGATGTAATTCAGAACACCTTCCATCCTAGGAATAAAGGGTAGTTGCAATCATCAAGTGTTCACTGTTTCTTGGGTGGGGGCG